CTTATTATATTCCAAAAAAAAGTGAAACAAAAAAATTTTCAAAAACTGATCACGGATTCGGATTCCCAGACCCCGATTACCTTTGGTCAAACTTTATTGAAAACAGTTTTTTTCGTAAAAAAGTGTTGTTTTATTCCAAAAAAGAAGCAAAACCCATAATCTCAAAAAACTAATAACAGATTCGGATTCCCCGACCCCGATTACCTTTCGTCAAACTTTACAGGAAAATACGAAATGTTATTAATAAGATTGGATGAACATACGAAGATTGCTAATTTTCGTTATAACGTCCTTTCAGTAGAGGGAACAATAGTTTTTTTTCTTTTCTTATCTCGTCCGTCGGTCATCGTTTACATCATCCTTGTCTGACGCAATGAAAAGATGATGCAATGATTTGTATGGACGTTTCATCATTGTCTGACGCAATAGAAAACAAAGGAAAATTATTGATTTTACACCTATAAATATGAATGATTTTCTATGAGAAAGTCATTCAATTTATTGAATCAATAATAAGCGTTTCTTCTTCTATTTTAGATTGGCTGCGACGATACAAAATTATCCTACTCAACTTCACTCAATACAAGACAAGACAAAAATAAAATGTAGGTATCTTTTTTAATTTTTAATTTTTTTTTCTTATGATCATATGAAGGGGTAGTAAGTCCTTCTATGATCTCTATCATATATATTTGCTTTTTTATTTTAGCTTTTCATCATCGAAGAAATTAGACGAATGGTAAGTTATTATTTTTTTTTCTTTCGAGTTGAGATGAGTTGAGATGAGAGTATAGTGAAGGGTGGGTGAGATTAGGGTTTCGTCGTATAGGAAGGACTTCTGGGTAGTCCCTAAAATCCCAGCCAGGAACGGTTCTGTTGTCCATGGCAACACGATTGGGCCCTAGGCTCATGGACATATGTCATCGATGGATGCATGTGGATGATGTGAGTCTTCCCACGCGTGCACGAGCACCACCGCTCGCCATGGCCCCACCAGGGTCGTTCCTGGTCACGCGCGCGCGAAAGAGAATAAAAATCAATATTTATTTGAAAGCAGAATAGAAAAAGAACGGAACAGAAAGAAATTAATTTATACGAATTGAGTTTATTTTATTTTGAATTTTTGTACTCGATGATTTCCCCAATCGACGATATAGAGATTACCATGTCGATCGAAGGATAAACCTATTATGGGACACAGGCGTTGATTTGACTGTGATCTAGAAGCGTTTCCACCAATAATGACAGTTCCTTGTTTGGCACCTTTTGGCCAACGCATAATTCGATGATTAAAATGATCAGCCACGTAGACAGTACCCAATTGATCAACAACGACTCCTTGAGGATCATGCAATTGTGTAAGACTATTTCCTCGTCCTTGACCACCAGCTACAACAATGCCTTGTTTTGCACCTTGTTCCCATTTTGTGACACGATGATTTCCACGCTCAGACACATAAACGGAATGTTCTCGATCGACAAAGACGTAGCTGGGATCAGAGAGTTGATGGAGACGACTTCCTTTTCCATTGCCGCCTGCAACTAGTGTTCCTTGAGTATCACCCATTTTAAATCGTCTTACTTCATATTTTTCATTGTCAACAACATAGAGATAACCATTGACGTCTATTGTTAAACCCCTGCAAGAGATATTTGAAATAATTGTTTCTCCTTCAGTACCATTTCGACGAGGCCAACGAACTACTCTTTTGTTGTCGTAATCGGAGATGATGAGACTATCGTTTTCTTTGTCGATAATCACATCTCGTGGGCCATTCAATTGATTAGTTCCATTACCTTTTCCATTGCCACCAGCAACTACGGTGCCATTCGTTGCACCAGATTTCCATGCCATAATACGATGATTAGAACAATCAGCAACATAAATTGTTAGATCGTCGTCGACGTATAGACCATATGGGTACTTGAGTTGATTGGTTTCACTGCCATCTTCATGTCCTCCAGCAACAGTAATACCATTTGTGGACCATGTGGCATTTGGATGAATATCAATGGTATTTGCACGCATTGGTACTAAAATGAAAAGCAAAAGTATGAAGTAGCAATAAAAAGAAAGGATTTCATTCAAAAATAAGTTTTTCATATTTTTATTGATAATTCTTGAAACTATTTGTATTTTAACTGGTAAAAATTATCGAATTTCAAATGAAATTTTCAACAGTACTAGAGTTTGCAATGAAAAACATTTGAGAGATCAAACCTATGTATTCAGATACATGAGGTCTCTAAATGGAGTCACACATGATTCGATTTCGAACATACTTGGAGAACTTAGCACTCAGATTAACTTAGAAAATGCCTACAAGTTAGCAAAAATGAAAAAAAAACTGAGTTTTATGCTAATTTTAATTTCTAATGCAAATTGAAAACCATCTACCATCCTAAAGCTATCATGTAAGATGAGAAATGCGTTATCTTAAATGCTTAAAGGTTTACTGGAGTTGGGAGAAGCAGAAGGAATCCTGAAAGCCTCATCTATGATGCTAGAAATGACATCTGAGATGTTACAATTATGCTAAATGTTGCTGAGAGTATCATCTCAGTTCCTCTTACATACTGAAACTATTGTCTAAAAGCATCATCTAAGATACTACAAGCATTGTCTAAAATGCTGTAACTGTGTTGTAAGATACCAGAAGTATTATCTACAATGCTAAAAGCATCATGTTAGCCAGAAGGCATCATCGAAGAATTTAAATTCTTTAACTAAGATAAGAGAAGCATTCTCTAAAATGGTAGATGCTCCATGTTACGTGGTAAAAGCATTATCTTATACGCTGAAATGGCGATCTAAGATGCAAAAAACTGATCTAGAATGTTATAAGAATTACCTAGAATGCTAAAGGCATGAACGGATATGCTAGTAGGATTTTGTAATCAATTGCAAATGTCAGGTGAGATGCTAAACGCAGTAATCTCAGAAGCAAGAAGTATTATATACAATGCTATAAGTGGTATCTAAAATGCTAAATGCTTCATCTAACAGAAGAATGATGTAAGATGTAAGCAGCAACATCAGAGTTGCTAGATGCATCATTAGGGATATTACATGTAAAATAAAGAATGCTAGAAACAATATCAGTGTCGATAGAAGCATGCTGAGGAATGCAAAAAACATAATGAAGCATGCTAGAATTATCATAAGCGATGGAAGATGCATCGTTTGGGATGCTAGGGCCATTACCAGAGATGCTAGAAGGATGATCAGGGATGCTAGAAACATCATCAGAAATGCTAGAAATATTACCTGCCCAGTGAAGAGAATAATGAAGAAATGGCCATTAAAACGAATAGTAATTCCTTAGTAAATAATTTTAGCCATTTCACAATTAAGGACTCTGTTTTTTCGAAGTTTCAAACTGATTTTTAAAATGTTTATAACTTCAAAAGTTTATGTGGATTATTAATGTTTGCTTATGACATGTTTTTTTTTTGTGAAATACTCAAAAGCATTCTTGTAAACTTAACCATTTCAACGTCTATTGAAGTATGCGACTCTGATGAAATTAAACTTAATAACAGCCGAAGAACTATTTTTTGTATGATTCTGATAGTCGGCTTGCAATTCTCGAATCGAAAAGATCTTTTTCTTTATAATACTTCTAAACTTATAAGTTTTTCGATAAATATGAAATGTCTGTAATTGACAGTGTCATCATTTTTTCGAAAGAAGATAGATCGCATTTATTTTTCAGATAAGTTGTATATCTTAGTTGACTATTCTAACCTTGTTTCTTCTCTCTCAAAATAAACAATTCGGATTCGGAGGTACTAAAATAGTGCAAAGGACCTATCGAAATATCAGCGCATATTCATTTAAGAAGTCAAATTTTCACACTCATTTTGTCTCGTTCTACTGATCGGTCGTATATCTTTCTTTCTCTTTATTCTCTTTATTCCTTTTCTCCTGTCTTTATATTATATTATTTGGCTCTTGCTGCCGTGTTGGGAGAAAAAGAGTACTATTTATATATATATACTCCTATTGTTAATTGATAATATTATTGAACTGAAGTCTTTAAATGGCTTCTTCTTCAATTAATATTATTAACACCATTTCTAATTCATTTGAACCAGTTCCAATGCCTGCTCAAAAAAGTATGGATATGATTGGTTCTCCTGTATCCTCCAATACTAATGCATTGTCTTCCAATGATTCATTTGATGATTTTGTGACTGTTAAAAATAAGAAGAAACTTAAACGTAAACATAAAATGATGACCTCGTCTCGTCTTCAATCTGATTTTGTTCCAACATCTGTTTTACCAGAACCTATTACTTCGTCTTCAAATATTACTGATGCTGCTACTACTAATTCTAATATTTTGATATCTAATGGTGATCAACGCAATGATACGGCTAAACGTTTATCTCCTCCTCAACAAATATCTATTACAACTGAATCTACTAGATATGCACAAACACGTTATCCCTTTCCTCCTTTCGTAATTAAATTTATTGCTGGTCATGTTTTACCTAAACAAGTTAAAGAAGAATTATTGATTCATTGTAAAAATGTATTTCAAACTGAAATTAACATTTTAAATTGTCGTTTATCAAACATTAGCTCAAACAATGATTATGATATTCTTCTTTTTGTAAAGGATTCTTATTCTTACTCATTCTTATTAGATCAGAAACATTGGCCTAATGTTTTTAATAATGTGAATTATGCTTTTCCGTCTGACCAGGTGATTCCTCCTCAATTATCATTCATAGTTAAGAATGTTGATCTTCATTTGGACTTTGATGATTTCTGTTCGGAAATTAAATTACGTTATCCATCTGTTAAAAATGTGATTAGAATGAAAAATAAATTTCAAAGTTATATTAAATTAGTTAAACTTGAACTTACTTCATCTAGTGTACGAGAAGAATTATTAAATGGAAAAAAAATTACTATTGGATACATTGCTTATGATATTGCTGAGTACTTAGCACCAGCAACAGTTCTCATATGTTCAAAATGTATGGGACTGGGGCATTTCAAGAAACAATGTTCTCAAATTAAAAATACATGTCGTACATGTGGTGATTTAGTTGATGATTTAAAATTACATATTTGCTCAAAAATTGAAAAATGTATCCATTGTGGTCTCGATCACAAATCTAATTCTCTTAAATGTCATGTGGTGAAATCTTTTAGATCTGAATTAACTCGTAAACTTTTATCTTCTAATAATCATTCTTCACATGTTTCACAAAATGGAATGATTGATTTAAATAAAAATGTCAATATTGTTTATAATGATTCACATTTTCCTGGTTTACCAGTAGCTCAAAACTCCTCATCTAATCACATGTTAAATAAACTTGATAATTTACTTGCTCAAATTGCTGAAGTTAATGTTCACTTATCTAATCTTAAAGTTAAAAATGATAAAATTGAACAAATTACTCTAGCAAAAAATGATAGTGATATTCTTATTAAAGAAAATTTAAATTTATTGTCAAAACAATCGATGGAGTTAAAAAAAGAGGTGATTGTGAATAATCTTAAGGTGGAACGCCATGAAAAAATGTTTACCAAATTAATTATCCCTATGTTTGAAGATTTTTTTAGCTTTATTACAATACAAAATTGTGATAGCAAAGGAAGAACACTTGATGCTGATCTTAAACTCAAGCTTGAACGTTATCTTATTCAAATGAAAAAAGCCAAAGAAGGTAAACATTTTACCAACTAATGACTCTGTCTCCCTTTGCTGTTCCTTTTTTCTCGTGTACTTCTTCTTTTAAATTATCTAAACGTAATCATTTTCTTGATAAAGCTAAAGCTTCACTTTCTCCTTTTGAATTCTATCTTTTTTGCGAAATCCTCGAGGAATGGGAAACTTATCCTAATCTTCATAGTTGTTTTTCTCGTTGGCAAAATTATATTCAAGTACCTGGTCAATCTAAACCTAAACTTCTCTCTTATAATATTCTTTCTTTTAATGTTCGCGGTCTTGATCTGAGATGGCAAGAAGTTCTTCTTCTTATTTCTTCTTTCAATTTTAATATTCTTGTTCTTATTGAAACAGGTATTATTGACACACTATTTTATGAGAAAGTTTTTTCTAATTTTAAAATTTTCTATCAAAAAGGAGAGAATAAACATGGAGGAATATTAGTGTTAGTTAGAATTGGTATCATCTCCAGTAGAATTAGATGTGAATTACCCAATGTATGTGTTGTTGATATAAAAGGAGAAGAAGATTTTAGATTACTAGGTGTGTATGCTCCTAATAGTAAATCTTGGTCATGGGATGATCTTTCATTGTTCTTATCCAAAAAATGTATCGTCTATGGTGATTTTAATGTTGATATTATGCAAGATGGTCCGAAAGCTGAATCTCTTTTAGAATGGACTGATAATCATTTTTTAGCTCCTGTTATTCCTTCATCTGCAACTTCCCTTCGTTCAAATAGAGTGATTGATTATGCTTTAGTTTGTGGTTTAAATATTGATATACAAACTTATAAAGGAAATACAACCAGTGATCATAGACCAGTTATCTCTACAATTCCTTTTAAGGTTGCTCGACAAAAACTAGGTAAAAAAGTTCACTGGAAGGTTTTCTCAATCTTTTCTGAATATTCTTTCTCCTTTTGGGAGGAGAATTGGAATATCTCTTCTATTGATAGTACTTATAATGATTATATTCGTTTTCTTTTTCTTTTATCTACTCGTTGTACAACTTTTTTCTCTTTAGATAAATATCGTTCAGCTTTACCAGTTGAATTACGATCCTTTTTATCTTATATTAGAGCTCTTTCTTTTCGACAAATTAGAACAAAATGTTTCATTTTAAAAAAGGAGGTGTTATTCTTGAAAAAAATTGCTAAATATGAACTTAATCGTTTTTTCTCTTCTAAACTTGATTATCTTCTTCATGTTCGTAACTCATCTTCACCTGCAGCTATCTCTTTTTGGCATAAAAGTAAACGTTGTTTAATAACTTCTTCATCTACTATTCATGCTCTTGTTAATACTTCAGGAGAAATTATTAGAGAGAACGAACAGATGTGTGAACTTGCAGCTGATTATTATGAATCTTTTTTCAAAAGTTCAAATATAATCAGACCTCATCCTTACACGGATAGTCCACCAGTTATGTTCGATAATATGGACAATATTATTCCTGAAGTTACTTTAGATGAACTAATGACTTCTATTCATTCTAAACGTAAGAAGAAATCTCTTGATGCTCATGGTATTGCTAATTTTATGTTTAACTTTTTACATTTTGATCATTGGTCCTTATTGTTAAAACTTTATAATTATTCCTTTCAAAATTCTATTTTACCTTCTGCATGGAAAGATACTCGCATAATTTTATTAGCGAAAAAAGAACATGTATGTCCTCCATCTTTAACTCGTCCTATTTCTTTACTTGACTCTTTTCAAAAAGTTGGTGAAACACTCTTTCTTACACGATTTCGTAATGTTCTATTTCAAAGAGGACTTCTACCTGATAATCAGTCTGGTTTCAGAGAAAATTTTCGTCTACAAACTCGTCTATTACTTTTCCTTGAAGATTTACGTAGTTTAAAGTCAAATAGTAGCCCTATTTGCACTATTTTTGTTGATTTTCGTACAGCTTTTGATCAGTTGTGGTTTGCTGGTTGTATTGGTAAACTTCATCGTTTAGGTATTCCTCCAGCTTATTTAAATTGGATATATGCCTGGTTACTCGATAGAAGAGGTTTTATTGAGATTAATGAAACTAGATCTAGGTGGTTTAATATTGATAAAGGTTGCCCCCAAGGTAGTGTTTTATCACCTACTTTATTTATAACTTATAATTGTGATTTGGGTAGTTCTTTGGCTGGTTGTATTAGTCACTTATTTGCTGACGATTTAGCTGGAATTGTTGCTGGTCAACTTGGTATTAAATATACCTATCAATGTTTGGATTTAGAAAAACGTCTTAAAGTTTTTATCGATCATCTTGAATACTATTCATGCCTAACTGATCAACCTATTAATACTAATAAGACTCAAGCTTTATTTACTACGCGTGCTATTGGTCATCCTAAATTTGATATTCATTTTAATTTGGGTTCTAAAGAGAAAATCAATTGGGTATCAGAATATAAATATTTAGGTTATCTAATATCTTCCAAATTAGGTTGGGGTAAATTTCTCAAGTTTATAATGAATAAAGTGAGGCATAGAATTTCTTTGATTAAGTCATTTAGGCTTTTTGGTTGTACATCGCCAGCTCTTCGCAAAACTCTGTTCTTATCCTTTGTTCTGCCTATTTTTACTTGGGTCTATCCAATATTCCCATTTCTTTCTGTGAAACAACAAAGCGAGTTGTCTCACTTCTATTTTTCTTCACTGAGGCGTGTTATGATTTGTCTTCATTGGAATGAGAACTTTTTTGCCTTTGCTATGGATGAAAAATCCTTTGAAGATCGTTGTGCAGCGTATTGGGAGCGATATTTATATGCTCTCGCAGATTCAACGGATGGATTGTTACTATTTGAAAAGGCAAATCTTAATGTACTCAGGCAGAGTTGGATCAATAAAGATTTTTCGATAAAATGTCTTCGGAAATCCAAACGATTTGTATCTAATGAATCAGTTATTGAGACAGTAGTTAGTTGGTTGAGTTCAGTTCCTTCTCTTTCTTCGATCCCAAACTACGAATTGGATGAAATTCGACTCCTCGAGGATTTTCCTGAATGTTTTCTGTTTTAAAGTATATTTTCTTCTTCTGTTCTTTTTCTTTGTCTGTTATTTTACTTTTGTTTCTTAATATATTGTTTCTTTTTTTCTCCTCTATTGTTATCATAGTTTATCATTATTTTTTGTTCTTCTTTTTTCTCATTTTTATGTACTGTTAGGATCTTTAAAGATCACAGTTATTGCATAATAAAAAAAAAAAAAAAAAAAAAAGTCAAATTTTCTGTATTTTACAGGAAAAAGCTGGAATTTAATTACAATTTGATATCAACAAAACCAAAGCAGATATCTCTGGTAAAATTAAGTTGAATAATTAAAATTTAGGCACAAAATTATTTTTTCCAATGTGAATCACATTATGATGTAAACAACTAAAAGATATCCCATTCTGTTGAAATCAAGTGTGGTCCTTATTATTCATGTTGTTGTTTTTGTTTGTTCGACTAAAGTGATGGCATAAATCGAAGTAGACAGATTTTATTTTATGCAATGAAGTCTTCATAAAAAACAGCCTGCGTACTTTACCTCGCATTGATGTAACACTCTATAGAAAATTACACAAAGCTGGTTTTTCAAATGACATTGTAAAAAACGCTCTCGAATTTTATATGATATCGTTCATAATAACGAATACTTAGAAATATTTATATAAACTTATTGATTTATTTGACATTTTTTTACAAAATTTTTCGTTAATTGAACAAATGTATTTAGTTCTTTCTATAGTGATATTTCTGTACTAGTTGATCATTTAAATATGTTGTGCACACTATTACAGTGCTTTCTATAATAATATAATACACATCTTTCTATACATCGCTAATTGACACGTCAGGTCTGGCTATAATATAGTATTCTCTTTTCTTACTCTACTCTCTTTAAAAAAACATTCATGTACTGATGGTAAAATTCTCATGTTCTATTTTCTTTTTCATCCTTATAGAATTACCAATAGTCTAGTAAATTGCAAAGAAAAGCAAATCGTCAAAAACATGTGTGGAAGCGTAGGGGGAATAGCGACGTTGAATGTGTAATTAGTGACTTTTCATTATATATTTAAATATATATCTAATATAAATTTGGTTTAATAGATCTACTTTCTTGCACGATTCAGTTATTTTCTTTAACATTCATACTGTTTTTATGAACAACAATGCTTCAAAACAAGAAATCGATAGAAATATCTGCATGGGTACTGATTACTGTTCGTGTATTCAGACAGATTCCGTAACTAATATATATGCGTCTATGTTCACTTCTAATTTAATTCAAATAAAGCTATTTTAAATGGTTAGATCAAAGCAACACTTTAGATCAATCACAATTTTTTCTCGCTAAGCTGTTATCACATTTTATCTGACAATTGTTGAAAATAGTAGTTAAATCAGAAAGATATATTTTGAGTAATAAATGAAAAGTCGAAACTTGTAGCCTATCTTTTAATTTTTATAAATAAGAAACGATACACAGTGGGAATAGAGAACAAGTATTATCGTGCAGATATTAGAATTATTTTATTTCAATTACTTATTTAATTATCTAAATATCTAATAATATCATATCGATTCGATCTGGTTAACATTACTTATTCATCTCACTACTATTCTGTTCGCTATATTCAACTATATTTGATTGGCTGATTTTTATTGGTCCAATATAGTCTTTGTCTTAGAACATAGAACAATGCTATAACTAGAAAAGGAATAAAAGAAAACGAGTCCCATTCATTTTAAAGATTGATGCATCAGTTGTAACATATCGTCGTATTCATATCCGACATGATAAGGAACACTTATGGCAAGTTTAAATAGTACTAACTAATAAACCTACCTTTTCACTTATAATATTGAGACTTTTGTGAATCTTTCCTCTGCGCAAGACGTTTATCCAGACATCTTAGGTTATTCGTAAAATGTGCTAGGGCAATCAATCGTCACTCATAATCTTCTATGTGTTACTGAACAAGATAAATGACACTCAATATCTTTTAATTTAAGTAGAAAGATCATTGAGTCGCAAATTTTTATGACTAGCATGCTAGTATACATTGAATATTGACATGTGCTATATATGATATAAACATATGATCTAATCCTCAGTTTTGTTCCATTTAAAGTGAGAAAAATAGCTATGTTATTCATTTGGATCAGCTTTAATATTTTTCTAATTTTAAATCACTTCCTAGAATTTTTGCTGTATTTACCTTCCACACAATCATCAGAGTATACTAAGAGTGTCGAAGTAAACACAGAATTACAGCGCGATTCAATCGTTAAAAAAAGATTAAACTGAGTTTTTTGTGTGAATAATACAGATTCTGACAGAGAAAGAGTAATGTAAATAATTATTCAAAAAGGTCAGCAATAATAAATTTGAGATATTTAAATACTGTTCGACAAGTTTATTTCAATTTGAATTATTTATTACAATTTAAGTGACGTTTTTTTCTTCGAAGATACTCTTTTCAATGTATCATAAAAATCCTAAAAATAAATTAATCACGAAAACAAAACAAAATGGAAGAAAAATAGAACAGGTTATATATTTCTTTGAGTCCAATTTCATATGGTACAGAAACCAAGACGGTTATAATAACGACCAGGTAGGCTCGAATCTTTTACATACCACTATGAAATTAGACAAAAAGAAATACATACTCCGTTCTATTTTTCTTCCATTTTGTTTTGTTTTTGTGACTAATTTATTTGTACTGTTTTTATGAAACATTGAAAAGATCATATTCGACGAAGAAAGAAGCGTTACTAAAATTTTAATAAATAATTTTAAAATTGAAATAAATTTGTCGAACAGTATTTAACTATCTCAAATTTATCGATAACTTTCCCATCAACAAAATAGGTCAGAAATAATGCAAAAAATGATTTGTGTTGTTAACATTATTTTTTTATCTTTTTAAACCATTTTTAGTTAATCAGAAGTAATCATTTTAATGCAGCACATGAAAAGCATTTTCAGCCATTTTTGTGACAGTTTTACATCATTATAATTATGTATATTTTTAAGCATTTTAATACCATTTTAACATTTTGTTCCCTGCCTGGGTGGGATCCCAGAAACATTATCACGGATGCTAGAAACATTATGAGACATGGTAGCAGAGTCATGATGGATGCCAGAATCCTCATCAGGGATGTCAGAAGTATTATCAGAGATGGTAGTGGCATCATCAGTGATGATAGAAGCATCATCATGGTTGCTAGGAGGATCAGAAGCTTTGCTAGCAGCATCATCAGGGATGCTAAGAAGGTCATCAGGGATGCGAGAAACGTGATTAGGCGTACAGAACGCATCTTCTCAGATGCGAGAAGCATAGCTGAAGAGGAAAAAGGCATCCGGAAGAAGGATCGAACTCTCAAGCAAGGCATGAAAATTATGAACTATTATACGAAACGAATGATGTAAGAGGTTAAAAGCATAATCACAGATTTGAGAAGGGTGGTCGAAGTGGTATAGAAAATGAGACCTTTCTGTAAATCTTGCACCCTTTTTTCGAAATGAAACGGTTTGAAGAAACTTATGATAGTGGAAGGTAAATTTTTTGTCTTTATAAATCATTGAAAATGAAAATCACTGAATTTGTGCATTTTTGCATTTAAATAATACGAAAAAAGAATGAGAAATGCATGATATAGGTTTGAATAGAGTTGAATTGTGGTAGGCGTATGTATAGAATTCTGGTTGATGAAAAATAAAAATAGAGAAAAAGATATATCCACACTATTTTGTTCGGGAGTGAAAAAAATGATTCTTAACTACGTTAAAATGTCTGTTAAAATTCTATTTAATTGCTAACATATGTCAATCGCTCAATAGGAGACTTATTAATATTTATTGTGAGTTTGGAAAGGATTTTTTGAATATTATTCAATTCACAGGCACAACCTTTTCTGTTTTGTAAGGAAAACCAGAAAAGAGTTAAATAATATTATATTCAAATGATGTTTTGTTGTGACGAACGAACAAAGCTCTTGGAAAGTTGAAAGCGAAATTATTTTACGTCTTTCTACATTTTAAAAAGGTATGATGGGATTAGACAGAAAGGAAAAATATAGAAAGGAGAAATATAGAAGAAAAGGAAGAAAAATATCGAAAGAGAAAATATCGAATAGGAAAACATAGAAAGGAAAAATGTCGAAAAGAAAAGAAACAATAGCCATGAGAGGTCGCTTAATTGAAATAGTTAAACAATGCATCTGTGGTTCGTTCGATTTCGTCTGATATGTTCATTCTTAGAACGATGACCATGAATATAGGCGAATGCAATGAATACTTATTACTTATCGCTCGTCGATATCTTTTTATGTATGCTTATTTTAGATAACAATAATGAATTCTTCAAATAAAATCTCCTTCATTTATTCTCAAAAAAATAAAAAAATGTTGGTTATAGAGAATTTCATATTTAAATTAAATAAAGCAACAAGTTCGACTAAGTATTATCGATGTAATGATCCATGTTGCAGTGTTGTTGTTCATACTGATCTTGAAGATAATTTGCTGAAAATCAAAGATGATCATTGTCATCCACCCGAACCTGAAGAAGTTCAGATTCGAACATTTAGACAAGCAGTGAAAACACGTGCTATAAATGAAACTACACCTATACCCCAAATTTATGATGAAGAAGCACTGCGAATAGATCTTTCACAATTATCAATTGCTGCTTTACCATCTCAGAGAGAAATGAGTCAGTAAAAATTTTATTATTTACCAGCTAACAATTTACTCTTTAGGTAGCACCTTAAACAAAGCACGTCGTTTCCAAACACCACCAATTCCTGATACTCAATTATTTGATTTACCTGAATGTTATACAAAAACAATTAAAGGTTTATCATTTTTATGTATTGATCAATTAGTAAAACGTAAAACGCGAATGTTGGTATTCGCTTCCAATGAACAACTAAAAATGTTGTTTAATAGTTCAGTTGTGTTAATGGATGGTACGTTTTCTTCTTCACCATCAATATTTAGTCAAGTTTACTGCATACACTCAATAAAATATGAACAATGTAAATATAAAACATTTTTTCAATTAAATCTTTTTATATTGTTATATTTTTTAGCATTTGTCTGTGTTTTCGCTCTTTTACCTGATCAGAAAAAAACTACGTACAAATTTTTATTAAATGGATTACGTGATAAAGCTGCTGAAATGAATATGGTGTTTAATCCAACTACTATCATGTCAGATTTTGAAGGATCTCTTCTAGAAGTTTTAAAAAGTGAAGTATGTGTTATTCTTATCCAATCTAAAGAAATCATGTTATTGTTTTTCTTAGTTTCCTAACAGTCAGCATCGTGGGTGTTATTTTCACCATAACCAAGCGATTTATCACAATATTCAAAAATTAGGTTTATCAAGTGCATATGTTGATGATGATCAAATTCGAATAATTTGTCGAAAACTTATGGCTTTGGCTTTATTGCCCCTTTCATTAGTTATTGAAGCATTTGATAATCTCTATGATTCGGTTCTTGAATCATCATCAACAACATTTAAGTTACTTGAACCTTTATTTAAATATTTCGAGAATCAATGGATCAAAACAGTTGAAATAAAAATATGGAATGCGTATGGAATACAAATGCGCACTAATAACGATTGTGAAGGTTTTTAATATCAGATAGCATTTAAGTATTTTTATTGTCCATATACTTGTAGGGTATCACAATCGGTTAAATTCAAGAGTATGTAAATATCATCCAAACATATGGACATTCATCAGATGTATACAAGGTGAAGAAAACAGATTCAATCATTTGCTTATTCAAATGAAAGGTGGTCTTGCAGCTCGTCCACAAACGAAAACAACTCAAGCTATTCAAAAACGTATTGATAATTTATATGCTCGTTATGAGAACAAGGAAGTGTCACCCGATGAATTATTGGAAGGCTTATCATTTGTAGTTGCTAAAAATAGCAAATCAAAAAAAAAATAAACAATTATTAATCTCTATGTGATGACATTTTAACTATATGTTAGATATTATTTATTGTTCTTTTCTTTCTCTAAATAAAATTTGTCACAAGTTGATGAATATTATGTCTCATTTAGATATTTTTTTCGATGTTTTTCCTCATTCAATACGTCCGCTTCGACATTTTTCCATTCGATATTTTTTCTTTTCTATCATCCACTTTCTATATTTTTCTTCTATATTTCTCCTTTCTATATTTTTCCTTTCTGCCTATTTCCATCCATTCTTTAAAAATGATGACACCAGGAATTCTTTACAAGTCGACGATGTCTACTCGATGATTTGATTAAAATAAAAAGCACGACATTTCATGCTGATGAAATGACTAATTGTTCATATCGAATATAAATAACTCAAAATATGTATATCAAAAATCCGTCATATATTTGGAGTCTTGTTTATATGCGAGTGACAAATTTGATGTCACCTGATTATTATTAGTATTGCGAAATAAATAGTAATCATATACAGTATCAGGAAGGAAAAAGTAGAAAACCTCAACCTTGTCCTGTTCTGTATGATTTATTAAGTAAATCAGATTTCGTAGCTAAGAATTGTGTGAAATACGCAGAAAAATCAATTTCGAAGTGATTCTTGATTATATGACGTGAAGAAATGAATATTTTTGTTTTGTTTCTTATATACAGCACACATTTAAACAATTTTCTTCTCAACTAGTTCTTTTTATATTTAGAAATATATATTTTCACAGCAGCTGATTTCTACTGATAGATCGAGATTTATGTAATCAACTTTATGTAAACTGTTATGAATGGTATTGATGGTTATGATTTAATCCTTCTCTTACACTGTTGAAATTGAAACTATCAACTATCTTAAATTTTTAATTTTTTCAGTTGATTTTATTGACTTGAAATAATCTGTGATAGAATGAATCAAAACATGTAACTGATTATTCATTCCTTTGAAGAAAAAAAATGAATTTTGTTTTAAGTCCCGTCAAAAATCGGTGATCTGAAAATTAAAAAACAATTCGAAAGAGTCCTATCAATTTGTACAGATGCATATATATTTATAGAGCAAAAAAAACCGCTGGTTTTTTTTGAATAGTTCTTATGTATTTATCTAAATTTTGACAGTTTTGATGGAAACTGACCATTTTTTTTATAGGGGAGGGTGGATTTTTAATACTGAAACAACTTCATTCAATTTCTTATTCTCTATGATGTCACTCATCTACAATTCAATTGAAAACATTGAAAATGTAGTGTCTCATGCACAAAATTCATGAATATTGATGAAAATGTAAAAAAGCATTCGGACGAAGTTAGATATCTATTTTTATTCTCAACTCGATTTGAGTGTTTGAACACTCGAATAATAGAATTTTGAAAAGAATTAAAGTAAATTAACGAAAAAACGAATCACGTGGGTAGCAAACCATTTCAACTATCTGCTATCAGTAGAATGACCAATATTTTATTGAAAAACAAAATAACTATCAAATGATTCTCAGGTCATTCTCCTAAATGAAAGAAAAATTAGAGTAATGATTAATTCTACTAGAGATGTCAATTATCCATAAATCTAAATCTATGATGTAGTCGCCAATATTTTGAAACAAGTTTATTCGATTAATTACAAGATTAGTAGATTATAAATGTACTCATATGTCGATGTACTTTCATTTTTTCTTTCTCCGCGTCTACGCCCATCCATATCCTTGTTTAAAGTTTAGATCTTTAACTAAGAGAACACATTTTAGTCTGTCATCTTTTCTCTAAAAAAAATAATATTAAATGATAAATAATTTAGAACTATTTATTTTTAAGTAATGGGTAATTTAAAGATTCGAATTAATAAAAGAATAAATGCTATGTTGTGGTTTTTCTAGAAAGAGAAAACTTAGTTCATTTTAGTTCATTAATCCGTCTGACACTATGCATTGCTAACGAATGAAAAATGAAAGAGATTCTAAATGACATATTATAGAAGTTTTAATGTAGATGATTAAAGAAATGAAGTTTTCATCTCATTGAGATAAATCGAAAAACTATTGTGTTTTATTCAAAAAAAATGAAAGATTAACATAAATTTTTAGTCTTTTAAATTTATTTCTATGGATCAATACTGATGAGATCAGAAGAATATTTTTCGTGTCCGTCTCTTCCCTCATATATATCTATTTCATACTGTCCTGAACTCTAAATTAGAAAGTGTTATTTGTTGTGATTTAAAGTATTTGTTAGAAATTTTTTCATTATATCTACGTAGCATGATCTCTTAACTTTTTCAACTACCATATTTTGACTTCTTAAGTTTTAAATAGACTCTTTAATTTCATTTAATGAATGATCGATTCCAAATGAAACCTATAGTTTGTTTTAACATTTCTATCTCTTAATAGACCAGATGACAATATTCTTATTTTCTTTGAAGAAGTCCATCCACACTATACTATACTTCGAAAAAAAAGTCAAATAATCTTCTTCATGATATATTTGTTATTTATAGTTACAGAAGTGCTTGTGTTCTCCTTGTTCAATCACTAACCATTTAGTAGCTGATTGTTTGTATAATACGTATTTCGCTGTGTTAAACATGATCCGTTATGTTGATTAATAGATACTCTTATTAAGCTATTAAAAAAATTCTAAGAAAGAGTTTGAGTATTTTTTTTCTCATAAAGTTAAGTACGAGTAAAACAATATTCTCTTTCTTGAAACTAAACATATATCAATTCTATGAAAAAGTAGAACTTTATCATATGTATTTATATTCTTCAATATAGTAGAATGTACAAGAATAGTTATTATGTCAAGTTTTTTACTACTATTATTATAGCATTACAAAAATAACTAAAATTTGCTATGATCTCAGTGAATGGCACGAATAATGCTACTTCTTTTTTTCTTCACTTTTCATTTGTGAACCTATTCAGATGATTGATATGAATAACGATGATGTTGATTTTATGATCAATTTTTATTCCAGATTTATAAAATATATTTGCAGATAGAAAATTTTTCGAAACAAGTTTTTCTTGCTAGTGTTCAATCCTATTCCTTCTTTAGTTCTTATTTCTCTTTATTTTCTTAAAACCAATTATTTTTATTGATTGAGTATAAGATTCAAGAGAAATCAAAAAAAAAAGTCTATATATTCATTTTTGACAAATGACATTATTATTCCAATGTTGATATGATGAGTAGGTAAAATTAAAAAAAACAGTTGATCATATGAATATTTTCTATTCTCAACAGGAGATTTTGAAAGACTTCTTCATCAAAATAAACAAAAAGTTTTCTTTTCTCTATTTTTCCTTCTCTTCAATCATTTTGCAACGATTTCTTAGCTGAGATAAGATTGTGACTTCATTTTATTTAATTTTTAATCCCCGCTATATTATTTGACTTGTGTATTCGAAGTGATATTGACTCATATCTAATGATGTTGTAACTCTAATAATTGTTTATACAAGATAAAGTTTTATAAAAGAAAAAAGCTAAAGCAGTTGGAATGAAATATACGTAAGATTTTAGACTAACGTAAGTGGTGAAATAATGATGAATTGAACTAAAATTCTTTTTTTTTATGAAAAACAATGAATAGTTTTATTATGTTTACTGTTGAGCTATGGATTATCAGTGTCCTTGGAGAATTAGAGAAAACATTACAAGATGTATCGTTAAATGTGTAAATGTTCTTTGAAATTTCATAAATTTCTAATACTATTCTAACAAAACTGCTTCCCATCAATAACTGGAACTCGATCATCTTGAATTATCAAATACTGTTTCAATAGCTGATTTTAATCATGTTATTCTAATTGAGTTATCATGGTAACACGAAATCTTAAAGATTTTTTAAATAGTTTTTCTTTTCTATTATTTTCTTTCCTTGTTACACATAATCAAATTGAAATTCGTAATAATACTTAGGACATATGTACCAGGAATATAATTTAGTAACAATTAAGTGATAATATTCTATATCAATGTGCACTTAATAGAATTCATATTGAACGAATAGAATAACAGACTACTTTTTCAAACAAAAGCATATTACTTATATTGACATAAAAGAATAAAAAAATACTTTAAGAGTTCTCGTCTAATCGGCTATCATCAAACTGATAAAGCAAAATATTAGTTTTTGTAGTTTTTATATTAACGAAAGTCCTTTTGGTTTGAAATTATGAATAGTAATACTGATATTGCTATTCATGCATCAAGTAAAAAGCAAAACAATCGGATGATGATAAAATAAGGAGTTCAATTTGATTGATTTAATGTTTCTATATGAAATGAGCATAATTTCTTATGGTAGCCTGTTTAGCTCACTTCTTTCAACCGTAGAAGTTCGTTTAAAACTAGAGAGTACTGTGCGTGATTCATCACTTATTTGTCTCAATATACAAAAATAGTTGGATGAAAAAAATCTATTTTATGAACATTTTTATGACATGTTTTCAGTAAATTCATTCTATTACTGATGTGTCAAAACAGTTGATTAAGAAAGACTTAATTTATAAAAATCGATACGATGTATCAGTTAGAAAATTAACAATGACTGAAATTGATTGCTGAGATAGTTATTTTTGTTTTTCAGATGATGGAGTAGAGTTTTCATCAAAACATCATCACGCTCTTTACTAAGGATTAAGACTACGTTTTTTTTAAACTTTATTGTTTGTTTCTCAATAGATTCATTTTTTAACATATACGATATCCTTCAGTTTTTGAGACATTCTTCAAGTAAGCAGTGCAATGTCCCAGAAAATGATGAATGATACTCAGTCAGAGGGTGGGTGCAGATGTGACTGTATATGAAGAGAAGACTCATATCTACCGCCTTGTATACTTATCTAATAGTAATTTTCAATATAAAATTCAATTCGTAATAAAATAGATGTTCATCAATCCTGTTTACATTCTTTCATTCTAGATCTGCACGGATGAGTTTATTTCAGAAGAATTCAGTTGGCTAATCTTGAAAAA